GCAGGAGAATGACTCATGGTTGGGATCAATAGCTACACCTCTTTTCTGCCAAGGCAGCGTAGAGATGATGGGATGATAAAAGAACATAGCAATCTATAAATTAATTCTCAGACAGTGTTGCTGTGCGCCCTGCTATGGGTCCTGCTTTATATGCTGGTCTCTTTCCAAGAATCCAGACTCGGAATAATCTCCAGCTAAAAACTGAATGTATTTTCATCCAATTTAATTATATTTCCCAGCCGCTAGCCCTATTAGCGCTTGAATCTTTTCTGCTGGGCTTTCCACAGACACATGCATGCAGTCCAATCATGGAGTCCCAGGGCAGGCCCACTGAAGAAAATGAAATCATTAAGGATTGATGAGGATATTAATAAAAGGGGGCTGTGCAGAGGGCCCTCAGAGCAGATGGTGCGTTTAAACGTGGGCTGCATCTGTCTCTTCAATCGCCAGACAAACACGCAAGGCAGCTTCACGGGATGTTACCCTGTGAATTTTGAGAAACAAGCTAGACCCCCTATCTCCACATTCAGATGCTGGGTAGGGTGGGACTTGATTTTTCAAGGCGCAAAGTAACTACAATCTCCATAACTAATTTTTATGATTTCAGCATCAGATTATTTGGTGAACTCGCTACTAAAAGCAGGTTGGAGAGACACTTGTTTGGGATGGTTTGGATGGGAATGCTCCCTCTTGACCCCCAGACGGCCTTTCAGCCCTATGAGTTTTAAACTGGAAATCACTGGAAGAAATCTTGGGGACACCTGGTCATTGTAACATGTTAATATGGACAACGATCCTTGCGATAATGAGCAGTTGATTTAGGGTCCGATTTTCCTCAAGCGAGATACAAAGTCACAGCCAAACCACCACAGATCTGGGGTTCTGGTTTTGGAAAATGAAGGCACAACTCGGCATAAAACCTTGACGGAACAGACTCGGCACAGAAACACGACCGATGTCCTGCGTTGCAAGGGGGAGCTCATCTCCAGGAGAAAAACTGCAGCATTAGCAAAACATTGATACTTCATTGCCAGCATCAAAACATAAGGTAAAAACTTAGTTTTGCCATATATGCTCATTCAGATGAGTAAAGCCGCATCCTTGATATGACACAAGGACCATTATACTGCCCACTCAGGATGTCAGTGGATCTCTGGAGACAGTGAGACACATACCTCTGATTTGGAAAGTCCATGATGAATGGTCTCCCTCTCCAGGCGAACTCTGTGGCGCACTGGCCGCAAGCCGCTCCACTCATCCACAGCTTTGGCTTTCTAAGAACAAGAACATTTCTGCAACAATGCACCATCTCACTGGTTTCTTTCTAGCTGCTCAGTATTAGTCGTATAGCTACCTTGAATAACCAGTCAAGAGGAGGATTTTTGTGATGTGGATTCTTGTTTGCTGGGAACAGAACTGAGATCCACCATCTAGTTAATTCAGGTTGTGTAGAGACCAGAGTGACTTCTGATCACAAGCCACAGGAGAGCAAATTTCATAGAGGCAAAAGGCTCTGATCAGTTCTGTGAGCCAGCCAGGGCTCGGAGCGGTTTTCCACGTTACTCCATTATAACATGACAGCCTTGTCATGAGCCTTTGCTGGAAGCAGCCTAGCTAATGGCCAAGGTGGGGCTGGAACGCTTTACCTGTCGTCATGTTAGAACAAGCATGGTCCTCGCACTCTACATGTGCCAGGTTTGTAATGTGCTCGGGATCTTTGTGAAGGCAGATGCCACGGACATGTGATGCACTATGATATGCCACTATACCCTGAGACACGTTCTCACAGAGCAGAATATGCTACCTTGTGTCTGAGGTGGAAATGACGGTCTGCCACTTTGCTGCTGCAGTGTTTAGTGCTGCTGACAAGCTTCGAAGACAGATCAACGTTACTGTATACACAGATCAGTTTAAATGGATCCCTCCAGTCCCTCCAGACTCACACTGCTAAGATCATCATTCATTTGACCTAGCTACGCTCATCAAATGCATTTGCCCTCACTGGTAGGATGGATTTCTCTCTGGTCTCTTGTAAATCGTGTGCATGTCACAGCAAGTCAGGGTTCTTTAGCTACAGGCACTACAGCAACGTCTGATGGTCTAACATACCTGGAGACTTGGGAGCAGCTGGCAGCACCTTTCCCAGATGGTTTTATGATCCCGGGGGCTGTTTTCTTCATTCCAGTTTCCCAGCTGAAATATCCCTCCCAGGGTCACCAGCTTACTCCTGCAGACAGGACACAGGGAAAGGGTTTACCATGTCCTCACTGGGACCCTCTCCCGACTGTTGGAGTTGCACTTTAATGGGAGAATCTGTCTACAGCTCATGAGTTCTGGTCACACATAGAAACCCGCTGCAGGTTTCAGTCTTTCTGCTTATTTTCACTGCGTGCCTGCCCCATGCTTATGTTAAGGAGGCAGACAGCAATGTCTGCATGTCTGTCCACATACAAGTCAGTACCTAAAGCCAATAAGCACCTGAACAGATTTTGATCTTGGGCAGGACAAAGGAGTGGTTGCATCCCGGGTAAAACCAGGGTAATTCTCAGAGGAGTGGGGCTTGAGGGAATAGAACAGAAAATCCATATGAGCCTTTGGAAACTCACTGGGACTCACAGAGATGGAAGGAAATGGACTGCAGATGCCAGAGGTTGCATAATTCAGAGGGAAAGGCAGGTCACTGGAGAAGTACTGCCCAGCAGAGGGGACTTGAAGCCTTGCAAAGACGCTGACCCACTTCTTCAGCATGCTCAGGCATGGTCAAGAGCCCAAGGCAGCAAAGGGCAGGCAGGGGCTTCTCATCTCCCTAGTTCTGTCTCTCTTGTATTGTTGAATTTGGGGCACGCTGGTTTAGAATTTCCTCTGGCCGAGCCTGGATCTGTTTGCTTCAACGAGCATGCGCTGTGGGGCACTACGCCGCGGACTAGAACGCCCCCATTGCTGGGGCTCCACGTGCTGAAGTGACTGAGGCATGTGAAGAACTGGCTCTAGCTGCAAGCCCTGGATGGTAGGACCGTGGACCTGTGCTGTCCACGCTGCATGCTAGAACAAGAATCTGCATCCCGAGAGGTGGCCTGGAAACCTGGAGCTGGGGGCCTGCTTCGACTCAGAGGGAGCTTAGAAATGTGTGCTTGGCATAGGGACCTGGGGAGCATCTGGACGGGAGAGCTTGACAGTGCCCTCTGGCACTCGGGCATGCTTGGAACCGGAGGTAAAGTATCTCAGGAACTTGCAATGTGTGTTCTCCCTGCCTGCCCCCTGCCAGGCCGAGCTGTGCGTGAAGCAGGGATTCTTCACATTTAAACCCTGGAATGTGCTGTTTCCTTTGGGAATCTGCCTTGTAGGCCAGCTCAAATAGCTTGAGCTAAAATAAACAGGCTGGAAGGAACTGTATATGCAGCTGGGATCATGATATGAAACCACTTGGAATCCTTTACTGGGGAGCTATAAGCGTTCAAAGTTCATATTTACGCAGGGGCTTAATGGCTAATCCTGAAATATTAGTGTGAAAGGAAGTGCCAGGAATGTAGCAGTCGGGTTACAGCTAAGAAAACTCCTTTGGGCCAAAACCACACTGCATCCCTCATCTCCAGCAGAAGCGCAGACTGTGCACATAGCACAGATTTCGTGCTCTTTGCGTGCGGACATGCTGGCCTCTTGACTAGCTTCCAGACCCCCTCAGGAACACTCTGCTTGAGAGGCATGGGAAAGCACAGGGTTAAGGCAAACAGTGAGGGGGCCGAAGCAGGAAAGCCCTGATGCCTGCAGCCCCTGACTTCCACACCTCAGGCATGTGAAAGGTCCTTTGGTGGTAGAATTTCCCAGGAGCTGTGAGATGCAAGGAGATGGATGACTCCTTGCCTCAGCGCAGTAAGGGTTTGATGCAGGAACCCATTCCTGGATCCAGCTGATGTGCAGGCTGCACAAAGTGGCTGTCAGTAGCGGAGATTCAGAGGACATAGCACGTCCGAGCAAAGGCACAACCACCACCCCACCACCTGTTTGCAGTGAGGTTAATGAGACTGCTGCAGGGGGAAGTCAACATGCTGACATGCAAAGGGGCCCATCCTGGGAAGCAATGGGATTTTGGCCCCAGGCACGTCTGGGGTGTGATTAGTCCCTCCACAGGACACTTGTCCCTTTGTATTAAGCAGTGACAGCCCCTGAATGAGCAGCAAGAAGAGCTTTCAGAGTTTGCCTTGGCTCCCACGGCCACCGCGGGAGCTCAGCACCTCTCCCTGGAGTTCTGCTCAAGCAAGCTGCATGGTTGGCAGGATGGGTCCCTGTTCCCAGGGATTTGCAGTGCTGGTGGGATGGAAACTGGTGGGACAGGACTCCCTTGCAGCCTGAAAGCTCACCCTGGACCTCCCCAGTCTTCGGGAGTTGGAGTGCAAGTGTGCAGGCACAGCGCTGACTCTGTGCAGACAAGAGGTGGGGGTCATCTTGTTCCTGTGCGTGCTCTCTGCTCCCTTCTGACATGCTGAATCAAAGGAAGCTTTGCTGTTACATACCCAGGTATAACGTATGGGGAGTTATAGATCCCAGATTCAGTGTCGTGAGTTATGATGAAATGCTTCACCCAGGGGGCCAAGACCTAGGAGATCAAGAAGACAGTACCATTCAGATCCACCCAGCATGGGGCAGAACAGGTCAGGACCTCTATAGCCAGGGGAACTAGCTGAGAAACACCAACTCCAGCCCAGAGGCAAGCAAAAAGCACTGTTCAGGAGCCCGGGGAATCCCATAGCAGGGGGCCTGCCAGCCACACAGTTCCTTTTGTTATGCTTATCCTTCACGTACCCAAGATGGACAGGGGGTAGATAAGCAGAGGGAGAGGCAAAGGGGCTTCCCACTAATATTCCTGAGGATCTCATGGTGTTTTTATGTATATACTAATAGCTGAGCCCTCCCCACATCTTTTGCAGACAAGGATCACTCCCAGTGGGCTTGGGACCCAGCTCAGGTTGGTTCTCTGGATAGCCTCACATAATCCAGGCTAGCCCCAGAGTTAGCCACCAGCCCACACATGCTCCTACATCCCCTGCCCTCACCTTTATGATTTGGCCGCGCCCTGGCTGTAGCTCCGGGTCTGGTTGTAGTTCCCCTGCGCGTACCCCTGTGCAGTTGATTATGATGTCCGCACCCTCTGCGAGAAGCTACCGAGAGAGAGACAGAGCAATGAACCGCACATGCGTCATCCTGCTGGGGAAAAGCTCGATCCGCCGAGTGCCCCAGTTCCTGCCCTGGGTGGAGCGTGCTCGTGACTCGTTCCTTCAGCACTCCTATTCCAGGGCTCAAAGCTGAGCCATGCCGCTGAGCACCCCTCGTCAGGAGTGAATGTGCTAGACGGTAAGAGGCAGAAGGGCAGAGTTGGCCCCTCAAGGCCAACTCCAGTGGAAACCCCATGTGTGGAAGACTTCACCTCCTCTGAGGGAGATCCCAGAATGGGTGCCAGGGCCAGACTGCTGGGCTCAGGCATCAGTGCTTCCTTGTAATACGGATGTAGGATGCAGAGAGTGGGGACTACCTGGGCAGGACAGTGCTCAAGGCTGTGACTCCCCTGCCCTGTGAGTCCTGCGTGCTAGTGCCAGCAACCTCCCAACATGCTGTGGGAGACCCTGGCAGATGACGTGCCAGCTGGAGCCTTTGCTTCAGCAAACAGCTGCAGGAATTATGAATGCTATTCAAAATCCAGTGGGGACTGTGCACAGCCCCCCACGCAAGGGGAAGGCTGCCGAATCTGCTTCCTTCCCCCGATTCAGCAGTCCCCAAGGCTGCTTTCCAAGGGGCCAGCCTCCCCGCCTTTCCGGGGCTGAAGTTCTAAAATGGGAATTCCCAGCTCACCTCCCCGAAGGATCTGATCTTCTTCTGAAAGAACTTGACTCCTCGCTGCTGGAGCCTACAGGAAGAAAGGTCACTCATTACCAACAAGAAACAGCAAAGGCAAAAAATAACACCCGGTCAAAGATTTCTGCCTGGCTGGTAACACTACACAGCAGCACTTGGGGAAAGTGTCCAGCAGTGACCTGTGGTGGGTGGTTGTCTTTGGCAGGCGTGGCAATGGGATATCCTCAGTTGCCCACCATCATGAGGCTGATGGGCAAAGTGAGGAAAGGAAGGTGGGTTTGTGTTCACCCTTCAATCTACAGATTAATGTTCAGAACAGGAGAAAGAAAATTAGGGGAGTGCTCACCTCTTGGTCAACCAAGGCAAATAGCTCTTGCCCTCTAGCATCAGTGCTGTATTGAACCAACCGTAGCTGAAAGCAAAGAAGAAAAGGAAGAATGATGGATGTGCACCAGCCTTTTGGAAGCTGATGGCTCTTGTATGAGTGTGCTAAGTTGGGTAGTGTTTGTGGCTTGATTAAAGTTAGCAACCATGAAGCGCTCTCTCTGTACAGTAGCATGAGCTGGGTAAGTGATATGGGAGGACTCTATTGCCTCCGTTTCCCTGTTTCTCCCAGTTTTTGTCTTGCTGCCGGGGACAGGTCTCCTACTATCACTAACACACAAGGAACTGAAAACTGGACTTGGTGTCCCAGAAGCCCCCTTCCAGTACTACATTCATGCGTGCCTGTTAGGGTCAGAGTACCTCACAGACTCAGGTGCAAAGAAAAGCTGGTGATATGCCCCGCGTAGTACATCTGATGCTGTATCCACCTGCAGCAGGATGGACTTTGTGTTGGGGCAATGTGAACAGGATTCTGTGGGGCCACTGCTAGAGATCTCTGTTCGATGGCAAAGCTCTCACAACCATGCCGCTAATTCTAAAGTAACGCGGACGGTGAAATACCTGTAGCCAGGGAAGAGTTCAAGCTCTTTCGGTGTCAGCTTCCTAAATCCCAGGACAATGTTTTTCCAAGATGGGTCCTACAGAGGGAGAAACTTTGCAGGCTCATTACCATGATTTAATCATTGAAATATGTTCGCAGAGTCCAAGCAGCTGAGCATGGGAAAGAGCACATTGGAGAAGAATGCTTGGGCCCCTCTGCTGCACGGGCTCTTTCCAAGACAGCTAGGGCCAGACCTCCAGTGGGTCTAAAATGCCTTTGCTTCACTGGATCAACGGAGCCATGCCAGACTACATCCTCCGAGGATCCAGCCCTCTGCCTACATTTGCATATCATTGGGAAACCAGAGCACACGATTTCCAGGGAGGCTGGTAGCAGGGTGACTTTCCCACTGTTCGGCAAACATTTCTTCACGAGAGACGTGTTAGGCCATTTCAGACACGAGCCTCAGAACCCCTGGTGCCTTCCACCCCACCCTGTAGCTTGCTTCCTACCGGGACTGGCTGTGTGAAGAGGTTGTAGCCGGACATGGGGAAGAGTCCCATCTCCTCTGCTTCCGGGGAGCGAAGGTGTCCGAGCAGGTAGTCAAACGTCTCTTTGTTCCAGAGCCTAAAATAAAGAGGGAGGAGCACGCAGGTTTGTTGAAGGCATCCAAATAACAGAACTCATCCTGCCCCTGCTCCTATGAGCCCTGGCACCCAGTAGACTCACAGGAGCTGAAAGTGATGCATTGTTTTAGCAGCAGGTCTTGTGCAATTGCACACCTGCTGAGTGGTTCACATCTCTGCTGCCATTTTAGGAAAGGACCCAGGCAAAGGGGGTAAGGAGGTGTTCTCAGCTGGGTCCTGAACAGCAACGGTGCAGGCTGTGGAGCTGAAGCTGTGGCACCCAGGCAAGGCAAGGCTGGGGAGGGTGAGTCTGAGTGCCGGGAAGCGGAGACAGTATGCCCTAAGGTTTGCTGAGGCAAAGCCACAGGGAACCGTTTCTAACAACAAAGGCAAACCGAGCACAATGCAGAGGCCTCCCTGCTTGCACATTGTCTCTCTGCGAGGAAGCCCCTCCACAGGTCTGCTCCAGAGCTTGCACCGACAGGAGGGGCCATTTCTATCCTCGTCTGCTCCACACAAATTTCCCACGGGGCTGCGGTGGTGGGTGACGCACCTGGGCTCACTCACACGCGGGGCTTGTACTGATGCCGCTACCCTGGGGGCTAAAACCGGAGTGAAACGAAGCCTTGGAAAGTCTCTGGAGGCTGGTCTCATCCCTGTGGGACCATCCTCTTTCTGTCCTACTGAACAAAGGGATGGCAGATGGAGGAGTGACTGCACCAAAGGCTCCTTTTCAAGCACCAGCTGGTGCTGGAGCCTGTGTGCCCTGCACTGCCAAGGGGCACATGGGATTGTGGACAGTGCTGGCCCCCACGGGAGGTAGAGCTGATGCTAGAGCGGGGTGTCACCATAGTCTAATAGCTGTCACCACGACCACTAAACACAAGGATTAGTATCACCCACGCCTTCATGCTCCCCCGTAGAACTGTATCCCCCAGCCCGAGAGCTGCCACTTCCCCTTACGTTTCCTGAATGTTGCCCTTGTCATCCAGGTAGGGCTGCCACAGCCCGGCGGCACCATCGCTGGTGGTGTGTGGTGTGTATCGGTCAGCGTAGACCTCGATCTCCAGAGCCGGGACGATGGCGTGATACTGGTCGTGGATGCACAAGGCCGTGGAGAGCCCGATCACCCCCGCTCCGATCACAGCCACCCGCATGGCCGCGAGTGAGACCGCTCCTGCAGGGCCTGGACCAAAGAAATCAACAACCCGGTGTTACCAAGGAGGAAATAAACTGGCTGGTCCGAGGTGCCTGAATGTGCCAGGGGCCCCCTCGAGAAGGCATGGGTTTGCTGGCTACTCAGTGGGCCCCGGTCTGCAACTGCCATGGGACTGAGTGACAGCGGGGGAAGCGGCGCAGCTGTTCTAGATCTGCTTATCTTGAATGTAAAGTCCCTGCTGACCGACCTCTCGGACACCAGGGAGAAGGCAAGTGCTCAAGGGACCGCTGGGCTTTGTGTTGTGAGGACTGTATCCTGCTTCCCTCACCGCTACGGAGACTGCTACCCTGACGGGAGAGCGGTGACAGCCCGGGTATTCACATACCGTCCATGCTGCTCCGCTGGGACTTGCAGCTGTAGGGGCTCTGTGTTCCCAAGGCGGCACAGGCCGGCAGGGAGCTCGCTTGCATACCAATGCTGAGAGCGCTACGCCAGTGCCAGGCGCCGAGCCGGCTTGGGCCTCTGGCCATGAGCAGAGGGCTCTGGGCACACACGTGACTCCCTCCCCACAGGGGACAAGCCCGGGCTTTCCGAGCCGGCATGTCACGCTCGCCTCATCTCATTCCCGGGCTGCAGCTTGCCTTCCACACACCGCAGTCCCCAGCCCCTCGGGCCGACAACCGAGCTCGCTTGAGTCTCCAGGCTGCTCCCACGCGTCGGCTGCCTCGGCCCCCTGGACAGCCAGACTTTGAACTCAGGGGATTTTTTTGCAGAGCAACAGCAACTGAAACCCTGGGACTGCCAGGCCTGTGTCCAGCACAACAGATGCCAGAAACAACAGAGGGAAGAACTGCTCTATTGTCCTTGCCGTGCGGGCACCCCCATGCTGCGCTGCTGACGCACTGCCCCAGGCCCTGCGGGGACCCCCACGGCAGGGCTGATGCCCCCCAGCCCACACCAACCCCATGCTGTTGCACGTTGCTTGATTTGCAGCTCTAGTGCCCCAGAAACAGCTTATGCACGACTTGGTTGGAGGGATGAGCTGCGAGGACAGCAAGCCCACTGATGTCCTGAGGAAGAGAAAGTGGCAGAGTGGGGAGGTGTCTTGCCCAGGGCAAGAGCGGGGCTCTCTAGGGCACCTTTGGAAGTCAGTCCATAACAGCAACTCATTAACCCACCTTCCCAGGGACACTGAAGAACAGACCCCTTGCTCAGCCCCGCTCCCTCCCATCTGCTTTACATCTAGGCCTGGGAGGACTTAGCCTCAGAAAAGGCCTGCTTTGCTCCTCTGGACTCAGTGGCAGAGGCTAGGATGCGACTGTCGCTGCTGACCTCCTCTTCCACTGCTCCCTTGCTGGTCGATGAATAACCCAAGACCTCACCTGCGGGGAGGGATGGGTCCCCAGGAAGTTTCCAGGAGCTTCTGGGGTCTCCGCGGCACGCGTTCTCCCTGCACACTGTTCACAGCGGAGGACGCAGTGGACAGTCCGAGGTTAATTTGCCACCGGGGCAAGGATCCGAGTCTAACATTTGCTGCTCTTGGTGGCAGGGAGACAGGGTCAAAGTCTCCCTGCCAGGGTGACACTCGGGGGGAGGAGGTGGAGTTTTCCAGCCCTTCCCACAGCACGGCAGCCCCTTTCTGCTTGCTGAGCTGAGGAAGGCAGGATCTCCAGGGTCTACCAAAAGAAGTTGTCGCTAACACCCTGTAGGTCCTTTGTCTCATTAGAGCAGGTGTAGCGTGTAAAGCAAAGAGGTTGGTTCTCTTCCTGACTCTGCCATGGGCTCCCAATAATTAATTTAGCCTTCGTTGCCTCAGTTTCCTCATCTGTAAAATGGGTATAATTGTTTTCTGCCTGACACGTGGGCTATGAGGGGGAACCGCCGGATCCAAAGCATGCCGAGATCCTCGCTCCTCTTGTCTGGATACAGAAGAGCAGCGTGTAGGACTCCCAGAACAGCCTTGGCACCGTGGACGTGCACCTGAGCAGCTCTTAGCAACCAAATGGGCTTTGTCAGAGCAGAGCGGCAATTAACTGCTTCCAGAGCCACTCTCGACCATGAGAGGAACGCAGGGCCAAGGCTGTTACCAATACACCTGGGAGCAGCGGGGAGCCTTGCCTGCGTGGTTGATTTAGTAACCGCTGGCTTTCCCAAGCGTATGGTGTCCCCCTTTCCCTCCTCTCCAATTAAGTTCTCTTGTGTTAAACCCTTACAGACTCACCGCCTGCGAGGGGGGCATCCAGGCAACATAATTTCCCAGATTTGGGGGTTGGGGGGGGAGGAACTCGAGCTGGTGGCATTTAAAGATTTTCAGAAAGGAGCAGACACCAGCCCTGGTAGGAGAGTCGGCCAACACTTCCCCCTGCAGAGCCAGGAGGATGGCTGTCAGTTTGGAGAGGGCATTTTCCCCCCAAACGTGGGAAAACACCAGAAGCATACTGTGTTCGCAGAAGGCCACGTGGCAAACCAATCCTTATGTGTAACCAGTGAAGAGCACGCACTGCCCAGCAATCCCAGAGCAATTTCTGCATCCCAGCAAGTGGAGAATGCTCTCCTTTCCTGTCTCCTGGCTTGTCGTTCTTATTCTCAGGAAGGAGCTGCTCAGTTGGGCTCTAACAAGGCAGAAGAAGAATTCACATCTTTCTGAAAACAGATGGAAGATCTCTCTCGGCAGATCTGGACGGCACGCGCAAGTGCCTCTGAGGTCCGCAGCGTGCGTCACCGAAAGATCTCAGTGCTTTTTAAGGTAAGTGAATGAAGCTCCCACCATCCCTATTATCTCCTCTCTCTCGAGAAACCCTGCTCTGCCTCACAGAAGGATTTCAAGATTGGGTCTCTCCAGTGCTTCGTGGTGAAGGAGGGCCGTGCAGGCAGCACGGGGTGCGCCTCGCTGGACTGCAGTTATCAGTGGCTTTGTCAAATTAAGTGAGGGGGAAAAAAAGAAACAGGGCCCAGTCTCTTAATAATCAAAATAAAGCTAAGTGTTTGGGCTCCAGAGCCCAGGATTGCAGCTGGAGAGGTTGGTGTGTTTATTATCTATTTATTATTTGTTATTTCGAATCATAAAAATCATAGAAAATTGGGCTGGAAGGGACCTCAGGAGGTCACATCCAATCCAACCCCCTGCCCCAAGCAGGAGCAGCCCCAACTAGATCATCCCAGCCAAGGCTTTGTCTAGCCGGGTCTTGAAAACCTCCAAGGGTGGAGCTCCCACCACCTCTCTGGGTAGCCCGTTCCAGTGTTTTACCACTCTCCTAGTGAGAAAATTCTTCCTAATATCCAACCTAACCCACCCGTTGCTGCAACTTGAGGCCGTTACTCCTTGTTCTGTCAATACTCGATTATGTATTCATCTGAAAACAGGCCCTTGGTTTTTTTAGCGACTGATGTGTTGCAGTCCCCACAAATGAGAGGTTCCTCTGAAGGAGAGAGGTGGTTAAGGTACAGGGGGACATGTGGGCAGCGCTGGGCCGGCCCGAACACAGACTCCACTCTCATCAAGGAAGGAGGCTGGGTATGCTGAGTGGGAGCATGAGGGGGAATCGAGGCTCTGGGCCGGCAGGGCCTAGCTCTCATCAGCCACTGATGCTGCTCGTGATAAGTCACTGCAAGCCACATACAGGCCCTACAGCAGCCTGATGGCTCCAGTCACTCCTCAGGCCGTCAGCTGGTATCCGGCCCCCTCTCCGACACACACGAGACCGTGGGGGAGGATGGGGGGCAGCACGAGTTACCACGGACTCCAGCGTCCAGGCACGGAAGTACGCTCCGACAGGGCCCCTTTGCCAAGAAGGCCCAATTAGTACGGACCCTTAGGAGGCTGTGAGGACAGCACCGTTGGCTTCGATTGTCTGGGAGGGACGTAGCGGGGAAGGTCTCAATTAGAAAGGGCTTTACATACCATCGGTAAAGCCTCTTACACTAATTACCCTGTTGCTTGTCTGCTCTTTGCTTTTGGCGATGCTAACCCCTCGCACTTTCCTCGTTTGGGTCGTAACACTTCACTCTGGTCGTCGAGGATTTCAAAGCACTTTGCCAATGCGACTCCAGCCTAGCAGCAGCTCTTTTAAAACAAAAAAAAAGAATCAGGCTCATCATCACCTTACAGATGGGGAGGTAGGAGCTTGGGGAGCTAAAATGAGGTGCCTATGCTTGCACCTCGAGTCTGTCGCAGAGCAGGGAACAGGCCCAGCATGTCTTGACCTCACCTGGAGCATCAGTGTCAGCTTGCAAGGCTGGGCTGCGCGAGAGACACCAGCGTATGACAGCACTTTGCTTTAAGTCAGCAGCTGCTGCTTCCACTTCCACCCTGCCTGAGTCAGGAGCCTTCACCTGGCCCTGATGGTGGAGCTGTTAAATAGTATCTGCAGCAGCGTATTGAGTCGCCCCTCTCCATCCTCCTCGCCCAGTGCTCCTGCGGCGGCTGCGGTCCCAGTCTCAACGACACGTGAGAGCGGAGTGATCTTCAGGCCTATTTAACACGTTCCCATCCTTCTGTGTGTCTTTTGCATGCTCAGAGCCAACTACGCATGCCCACCTTGCGGGGCTGTAACCTGCCCAGCACTACTGCTGACTCCCTACAGCAAAGGCACCTCCCGCTGAGGATGCACCATACTTTCCTGTTCCACAAACTGTTGGCTCCCACACCTGGGAGGGGGTAAAAGAAGCTGGGATCAAAGTCGGAGTATGGTCACGGGGCTTGCTTGAACGGCTGTTGGTAAAAGCTGTTGCACTGTCAGCCCAGTTCCACCTCTACCTTTGCCTGTCCTTTCCTCAAAGGAAGGCATTCGTGGACCCTCTCTTTGATCAAATGCCAGGGCTTAATTTGTTCCTGTAACAATGGGCTAAATCCTGCCGTTCTGACTCGGGTCCAACGCCTATTAAGGTCAACAGGTGTTTGCTTGACGTAGGGCATGCCACATTGGCTCTGTCTCTTGGGGCCCTCAGTGGAGACTTGAAAGGCCCACGTCAGACGCCCTCTCTGAAATGCATCGCCCATCTCTGTGGGACTGACCTGATCCTGCTCGAGGACAGAACGGTCGTTACCACCCCGGGACAGAAGAGAGCTGGAGCCAGAGGCCGACCGAAGTAAAAAAGGGGCAAAACCCAAGGTGCCGCCCTGCTCACCAGCTGAGTCCGAGAGCAGAGCTAACCTCCCTCTGTCTGAGTGGAGACGTGCTCCAGATGAGCGTGGCGAAAGAGGAGCCTCTCTGCCACTTTGCGGGACCTTCTGCATGGGCACGGGCAGCTCTAGGACTTTGAAAAGGGGGGTGCGGAGGGCGTGGTGAATCATCCCATATAGTACGACGCCTATTTTTCTCCAGGTAGAAAGAAACACGAAGCTTTACTACTATGCGAGGGGCCTGGGCTGGATGATTCAATTTACTATTTGTTTTTGCTTCGATCCAACTTCATCAGAACGAGTCTGCCGGGCTGTGAAAGAGGAGCTACGTGAGCAGGAGCAGTCAGCAACACGGCAGCAGAAAGGCCCTGGAAGACCCTGGAAAAGGAGAGAGGGTCGTCCACTCCTGCAGCGTGAAGAGTTTAGAAGGGATGGGGTAGATTTTCATGAGCCGTGAAGTCACTTGATGCTCTCGCTGCTGCCCAAGCAGGAGTGTGGCTGCCCCTGCCAGGCGGCCGGCTTTCAACTCTGGGGGCAACAGGGACCAAAGGGAGGTGCATCAGACACGGCTGCCTGTGCCCTGCCTTTTCGTGTGCAGTTTGGAGGACGTGTGGGGGGCTCCGAGACCGACGTGTCGGCCTCCCACGGGGATGGCGCTACACGTTTTGGCCTGGTGCGACTTCAGCAAAGGCCCCCGACTGCAACGATCCCGGCGAGGGTCCGGCGCGTGACACTGCTCCTCATCTGGGGCGTCTCCCTCTCCCTGCCAGGCGAGGGGGGACGCGGGCGGTCGGGGATGGATGCAGGGAGGATGCACGGGTGCGCTTGCACCCCTCCTGGACGCCTGCTCCCCTCAGAGCATAAAACCAGCTGCCTGGCCGCGGCAGCAGCATTTCTAGCCAGGCAGCGCCGAGGGAGTCCATTGCATTGACTCGGTGGGTCCTCATCATCAACTTGGAAAGTCTTCATGGCGCACGTGTGAACGACCCTCTCTCCTTCTCAACGCTTTGACGTGCCGCCCATCGAGCGAGCTGTCGTTCTGCCGTGCGGCTGCCACCGCCGTCTGCAGGCTCGCCCGCCCCTG